TTCATTTATAAGAGTGGGACTGAATTACCAATCATTTATATTTCATAACGGATCATCACGTGTTTAACGTGCATAAAAACTAATAGAGGAATTGACTGAAATTGTTACATAACCAGGAATGTGGCATGTCATATCAAAATATAAGTTCTAATTATCCTTCAATAACTTTATGCACCTTACATAAACATATTTTTGTATTAAAAATTACAAGTACTCCTTTAGATACTACATTTCATGTCAGAATGGTTACCAGTTCTTGGAAGTATATACAAAGTATGTAGTATAAACTACTTTCATTTAAGATTAAATGGCTGTTGACAGTTTGTAAAGCTGCAAAATCATAACTAACTTGGTTTTTTGCTTCTAGCACCACATTAATCATGGCACACATTTCAGATGGTACAATGTAGTCTGTGCTGGTCCATTTACTGCCCTTTCTCTGCCATTGCTGAAAACCTTGAAGAGTCCTGAGAAATGAACAAAAACTTAGATGTACATGAATTACATACAAAAAGTAACATTTCTAAGCTAGTTAACTCTCTTACTAGGAGTTTGGTCAAATTAGCATTAATAGTTTCCATATTATAATTTATATTATGTTTCAGTAATCAATAAAAGTCATTTGTACACAAAAAATCAGAACTTTTAATGAAGTATCTTCCCTAAAAATTTCTTCATGAATATATGGAGTCAGTGTTGACTGTTCTGAATACAAAGCGATCTTCATGTTAAGATTAAAAATACTTTTCTTCATCTGAAAAATCTCAAATTTCGTTTGTGTAATCTCTAAAACTTCCTAAATAAATTTTCAATGTTTTTTTTCTCAGTGAAACTTTATAATTTACCTGTTATTTTCTCTACACTAACTCTATATGAGGTTTGTCAATCTGACCGACCTTGTAACCACCATAAAATAATGAATTAAATGTAAATTATCCTTTCTTTCTTTCTAGAATAACTTCAAATTGTAACATAAAATTAAATTCGTTTATCCTAAGGAGCTTTAAACTCATAACAGTATACATCTAATTATACTTAGATTTTATTGTTGCCATTTGAACTTTGTCTAATTAATATTTGTGCCATACAAGTTGTAAATCACTTGGTGAGTGTGTAGCTCACATTACCCTATTGAATTACATAATGCATGGGCTACTGAACTGTTGATGACACTTAATCCTTTTTTTTTTTATTTTTAATTACTAATGGTACTACTGCACTCAATAATTTGTTATTTAATTAAATAAAGTGCAAAAGAACATAGAATAATAACGTGCAAAAAGAAGACAATGTCCCATAATTATCACAATTTTTCTGGCTTTCTAATTATGCAACAAGAGCTGTTAAAAATTCAGCTAAGCTCACTGATGTGCTACCCTTGGGAATAAAGCTTGAACTGGAAGCGAAATAGACAATTCTCTGTACAGAAAGCAATGTAGTATAATATTAGGTTGTCAAGAAATTAATGTTGCTTTTTTTAGATGAAAAACCCAAACAACTTGTATATCAAAACAAAACTTTTATTAAACGAAATAGTCTCCATTCTTGTCAATGATATTTTTCTATCTTACAGTCAGGTTGTTAATGCCCTGATTAAAGAAATCACTTGGCTTTGAAGAAAAAAACATGTTGATGTCCTCTTTAACACCTTCCACATTTGCATATGTTTTCCCATTAAGTGTTACAGTGAACAAAAAAGATGGTAATCTGATGGTGCCATATCCGGAGAATATGGTGGGTGGGGAGAACTTCCCAACCCAACTACTTAATCATGTGGTGCATCAAACGTGGCACATGTGGACGTGCAATGTCATGGACAAGAAG